ATAGATATAAGGGGGCAATGTTGAGGTGTAAAGCAAAATACATGGTAGAAGGAGAAAAATGCACAAGGTTTTTTTTTTTATTGGGAAAAAAGAAAAGGAAGAGTTGAAACTATCAAAGAAATACAGAAAGAAAATGGTGAAATGGTAGAAGAATGTGGGGAAATTTTAGAAGAAGTAAGAAACTATTATGGAAAGCTGTTTAGTACGGAAGGAGTAAGGGAGAGAGAAAAAAGGGAGTTAATGGCATTAATAAAAATGAAAGTGAGTAAAGAGGAGAAGGAAGAATGTGATCAGACCATAAGTAAAGAAGAGATAGAAAGAGCAATAAACGAATTGAACAAAAAGAAAAGCCCAGGGATTGATGGTTTAGGAAGCGAGTTTTACGTAACTTTTAAAGACCTTTTAGTAAATATTTTAAGGGATGTTTATGATGAGGTTTTTGAAAAAGGAGGAATGATGTTAAGAATGGGGATGGGATTGATGAAGATAATATATAAGAGAAAGGGGGAAAAAACAGAATTAAAAAATTATAGACCTATCACAATGCTAAATACTGATTTAAAGATTTTAGCAAAACTTTTAGCGAATAGATTAAAAGAGATAATGCCAAAGATAATCACAACAAATCAGGCATATGGAGTAAAAGGAAAAGACATTGCGGATGTAACAATGAGCATAAGAGACACGATAAGGTACATGGGAGAAAAAAGGAAAGGAGGGTATATAATTAACTTAGATTTTGAAAAAGCTTTTGATAGGGTGGAACACGAATATTTATATGATATTTTAAAAAGGTTTGGGTTTGGGGAGAATTTTATTAAATGGATTCGTATTTTATACAAGGGAGCAATAACAACAATAAAATGTAATGGGTTTTTAACTAAATGTTTTAGAATAACACGATCTATAAGACAAGGGTGTCCTTTATCAGCTCTGCTATACTCATTGGTGGCAGAACCACTTGGACTAGCCATAAAACAAGAAAGAGGAATTAAAGGAATAGAGATCGAACAAACTGGAAAGGAGAATAAAATTTTTCAGTATGCAGATGACACAACTATTTGTGTTAAAGAAGAAGAAAGTGTCACAAAAGTAATGGAAATAGTACAGAGATTTTGTAAGGGGTCAGGAGGAAAAGTAAATGAAGAAAAAACTGTATATATGAGATTTGGACAGATGACAGATTTAACAGGGAGTTTTAAATTTAAGGAAGTAAAAGAAATGAAGATTTTAGGAATTTTAATGGAGAAAGATGAAGCTAAAGCGAGAGAAACCATGTGGGAAGAAATAGTGGGAAGCATTGAAAGAAGACTGAACTTTTGGAAATTGAGGGCACTACATTTAAAAGGGAAGGTTTTAATCCTGAATGTTTTAATGACATCAAAATTGTGGTATTTTTTATATGTGACATCTATGCCGGTGTGGGTGGAAAGAAGGTTGAAAAGATGTGTTTTAGACTTCTTATGGGTAGGGAAACCAGCTAGAATTGCGTACTATACATTAATAGGGATGGTGGAAAAGGGAGGTTTGGGTTTAATGGATGTGGAGCAAAGGAAAAATAGTCTGAGAGTCAAATTAGTCAAAAAGTATCTGGATGAGGGAAACAAAGCAGAATGGAAAACAACAATGGAATTTAGTTTAAATAAATGTGGGAATTTTAATCTGGGAGATGATATGTTATGGATGAGAACAAAAGAATGGATAACAGAGGGGTTGCCAAAGTTTTACAAAGAAGTTTTAAGGGCTTGGGGAAAACTTTTAACTACTGTACAGTACAACTTACAAGGAAGAGAAAACATTTTAAATCAGCCATTGTTCCTAAACACCGGCATTTTAAACCAAGGGAAGGAAATATATTTTAAAAAATGGATGGAAGTTGGAATAGTTAAAGTAAGAGATGTTTTATATGAATATAAAGAAGGATTTTTACCAATGCAGTACATTGTAGATGTGATGGAGGAAGCAAAAGAAGAATTTAAAATGCAAGAACTAAAAAATATGTATGAAATGATAAAAAATGCAATACCTAAAGAATGGATAAAAAAGGTTGAAACTATGGAAGGGGGGAAAGAGGAAAAGGATGTGTATGTAATACTGGGAGATAAATTGTGGCTTTTAAAGGAATGTACAGTGAAAATGTTTTATGGCTTTTTCAGAGATGTGATTTTTAAGAAACCGGTTGTAAACAAATTTTGGCAGAAGACATTTGAAGGTTTAAAAGAAGAGGAAATTTGGAAAAATATGAAAGGGGAGAAAGTTGAGGTTAAATTGGAAAATTCTGAGTTTTTTATCAGACACAGAGTGGTGTTTACTGATGTTATACTCAATAAAATTGGAATGGAAAAAAGTGCCACATGCAAAGTGTGCAGTGAGGAAGATGAAGGTTTTTTACATGTGTTTTTATATTGTAGAGCATTGAAGGATTTTAATGAAAAATGTAAAACTATTATTGTAAGCCTGGGAGGGGAGCAAGATGGAGAAGTTACAGAATGGAATAAGATCATAATGTTAGGGTGGGCTAAGGAGAACAAAAACAAAAAGGTGATCAATCTGTTTGTAATGCTAATGAAAAAAGTCATCTGGGAAAGAAGAGTGATCGCAAAACAAGAACAAATTATACTTGACGTGTGGTGTTTGTTTAAAAGGCGTTGGGAAATGTATATAGAATGTTTGTATAGTTATTTTAAACAGGAACAAAAAAATAAGGAATTTGATAAGGTTTTTACTTCAGAGGTTTATTCAGTTTTCAAGAAGTTTAATATTGTAATGCCAGGAATGGAATAATATGGAAGAAAAATGTTTTTTATTCATATGAATTTTTTTTTTGGAATTTTAATGTCTGTACTTGTGAAAGGCATAATGTATTTTCGATGACCTCTCATTATCATATGTGTTTTAAGAAAATATTATATTTGATGTGAGAGCTGTATTGGGAATAAAAAAAAAATGTCTGCGCCCGATCTCGGAAGCTAAGCAGGGTCGGGCCTGGTTAGTACTTGGATGGGAGACCGCCTGGGAATACCAGGTGCTGTAAGTTTTAGCGTTTCCTTCACTGCTTATCTAATACACTGGCCTATAGGGTGGCTGATCTTTAAATAGCCCACTCTTTGCGGCAGTCCTTGCTTATGGCCATACCACCCTGTTTGCGTCTGATCTCGGAAGCTAAGCAGTGTTGGGCCTGGTTAGTACTTGGATGGGAGACTGCCTGGGAATACCAGGTGCTGTAAGCTTTAGCGTTTTCTTCACTACTTATCTAATACACTGGCCTTTAGGGTGGCTGATCTTTAAGTCAAGTCACCTTTATTTATATAGCGCTTTTAACAAGATTGTGTCAAAGCAACTGAACAGCATTAATTAGGAAAATAGTGTGTCAATAATGCAAAATGACAATAGTAAACACTCATTTTTCAGTTAAAGGCAGTTCATCATTGAATTCAGTGATGTCATCATCCAGCTCAGTTAAGTTTAAATAGTATCTTTGAAATCATTTGCAATCAAGTCAACGATATCGCTGGAAATGAAGTGTCCCCAACTAAGCAAGCCAGAGGCGACTGCGGCAAGGAACCAAAACTCCATCGGTGACAGAATGGAGAAAAAACCTTGGGAGAAACCAGGCTCAGTCGGGGGGGCCAGTTTTCCTCTGGCCAGACAAAACCAGCAGTTCAATCATCTGGTTCCTGTGGTCTTTTCCCGGTGGTCGTCTGAGACAAGGTCTTTACAGGGGATCTGTATCTGGGGCTCATCTAGTTGTCCTGGTCTCCGCTGTCTTTCAGGGCTGTAGAGGTCCTTTCCTAGAAAGCTGATCCACCATCTGGTCTGAATATGTACTGGATCCGGGTGACTGCAGTGACCATCTGATCTGGATACAGACTGGATCTGGTGGCAACGGTGACCTCGGAAGAGAGAAACAGACTAATATTAGCATAGATGCTATTCTTCTAACGATGTAGCAAGTACATCGGGTGTTATGGGAAGTGTTCCCGGTACCGGTTGACCTAATTAATGCAGCCTAAAAATACTTTAACGGATTTCAGAATTAGAAGCATATTAGTGTGTTATGTGTAAGCCAGGTAAAAAAGAGATGGGTCTTTAATCTAGATTTAAACTGCAAGAGTGTGTCTGCCTCCCGAACAATGTTAGGTAGGTTATTCCAGAGTTTGGGCGCTAAATAGGAAAAGGATCTGCAGCCCGCAGTTGATTTTGATATTCTAGGCATTATCAAATGGCCAGAGTTTTGAGAACGCAGCGGACGTGGAGGACTATAATGTAACAAGAGCTCGTTCAAATACTGAGGTGCTAAACCATTCAGGACTTTATAAGTAATAAGCAAAATTTTAAATAACAAGACCTCGTTCAAATACTGAGGTGCTAAACCATTCAGGGCTTTATAAGTACTTAGCAAGATTTTAAAATCTATACAATGTTTAATAGGTAGCCGGTGCAGTGTTGACAGAACCGGGCTAATATGGTCATACTTCCTGGTTCTAGTAAGAACTCTAGCTGCTGCATTTTGGACCAGCTGGAGTTTGTTTATAAAGCGTGCAGAAAAACCACCCAATAAAGCATTACAATAATCTAACCTTGAGGTCATAAACGCATGGATTAACATTTCTGCATTTGACATTGAGAGAATAGGTCGTAATTTAGGTATATTTTTGAGATGGAAAAATGCAGTTTTACAAATGCTAGAAACGTGGCTTTCTAACGAATGATTGCTATCAAATAGCACACCTAGGTTCCTAACTCTCCTAAAGAAGAGAATGAGTGGAATTGTTCCTCAGGCGATCTATAGCAAGCTATACTATAGCTGACGGCTGATCTCTAATAGTATCGATCTTAGAAGTAAAGTAGTTCATAAAGTCATTACTGCTGTGCTGTTGGGAAATGTCGAAAGGAGGGATGGGCCTGGTTAGTACTTGGATGGGAGACCGCCTGGAAATACCAGGTGCTGTAAGCTTTAGCATTTTCTTCACTACTTATCTAATGCACTGGCCTATAGGGTGGCTGATCTTTAAATAGCCCACTCTTTGTGGCAGTCCTTGCTTACGGCTATACCACCCTGTCTGCGCCCCTGTGAGAGTAACCAAGTTGGTACGATCCAGGGAGTGAGAGGTGGCAGTAGGGAGAGACAGGCTCTCCCAATTGTTTCATTTTATTTGGTTTCTGATTTGATTTAATTATTTGTTAATAGTACAGTTTATTTTTGTTTATTTCCTGAATAATTCAGGGGCCCTGAGCAGGGTTATCTGCTTGGGGTCCTGAGTGGATTGGTGCTTTGGAAAAGCTCAACATGGATGTACGTAAAACAACGGATTTGGATACAATGAAGGACGAACAAACTAACAAATATCAACAAAAGGACAACGGACAAAGAGGAAGAACATAAGGATCAGTGGAAACAACTGAAGGAAAAAAGAGGACTGATGAAAGAAAGAACAATGAAATACAAAGAAAATATACAAAGGAGCAACAGTGATTGTGAATATGGCTGAGATCAAAGATGGGAAAGTGGAGGATGTGATAAAAGCAGTGATTAACAAAGTTGGACTGAGTAAGGTGCTGGCAGTGAGACCAAGGATTAACAAGGAATATGAGATTACATTAACTGATGAAGAAGCCTGTGAGGAGTTAATGAATGGACTGATGATCAAGGATGTGATGACAGAGGTGAGAAACTTACAAACAAAAGAATGTGTGGTTTCATTTATGCACTTACCAGTGTACATAACGGATGAGGAGATACGAGACCAGTTGAGAGTGTGGGGAGTAACAACAATATCTGCAGTGAAAAGAAGATATTATCCAGGAACAACAATCACAGATGGAACACGTTTTGTAAGAGTTAAGTTCCCGAAATAAATTGTTTCACTGCCCTACAGCACAAAATTTGAAACAGCTGAAGGAATGCAGTATTTCAGGATCATACACGATCGTCAGGTGAAAACCTGTCGATTATGTATGAATCCTGGACATATATTAATGGATTGTCCTGGTTTTAAATGTCCCAAATGTGGAGAAAAAGGTCATTTTATAAGAGATTGTGATGCAGTCTGTTGTCCAGATTGTAAAGAAGTAATGGGCAGATGTGAGTGCTGGATGGAAGGGGAGAATGAGGAGGAATATGACATTATACAGGAGGGAGGAGAAAAAGAAGTACATGAGGAGGAAAGGGGTCAAGAAGACTAACAAAATCCAGAGACAAGAGAGGAAGTGGAAGGCTTGTGACAAGAAACAGAAAATAGAATACAAGAACAAGAAGTGGAGGAGGAGAAATCGGATAAAACAGAGATAGAAAAGAAGAAGAGGGGGAAAAAGAGTGGGAAAAAGTGACAATGACCAGAAGAAGACCCCTAAAGGTAAGCCCAAATCTTGACATGGCAAAAAAAGACAATTAAGAGAAAAACTGAAAGAAAAAGGGACATATAGAAAAGAATGCAATGAAAACAGTTTTGAAGTTTTAATGGATTTGCAAGAAAATATTGAATGAAGTGAATATTATGTTTTTTTTATTATTATTTCATTTAAGAATATGCATATCCCACATATCATGTATAGGGGTCTAGGGGCCTTTAGGGGTCTGTGAGAATGTTTATCTCTCTCCAGCCAGGTGTGACCCTGGATCATAGAACCTAACAAACAAAACACCAACAAACAGGTATTTTATGTTTTTACAACTGATTTAAAGATTTCTTTGTTTTTGTTCTGGTAGTATTTAAGAGATAGTTGCAAATCATTCTTTGCGATTCTGTAGCCAGAAAGCCCGTAGTATGGAATGTGTCCACACACTCTATACTATGTATTTTCCTGAAGTCAGGTATGCATCCTTTGCTCTTAGATTTATCTTTGAGAATTTGATGTCTTGTATTGATTTGATATCTTTGAATTGATTATGTAATTGGCATGATACAAGTTTACCTGACAAATAATAAATTGTTATATTTGATTTATTCTGAACTTTTCTTGAAATCATTATAACTAGTAAACTGTGAGGAAGCTTTTGTTACCACAAATCTACGGCCAGGATAGATCAAACTGAAGGCTCATGAATGGCAGGAGCAGTAGGCACGTCATCGGAGACCTTATGATTTCTGTCTATCGCTGATGTTAGCAAGTTGTACGGGAAAGGACTAAGTGAATTACACTTTTTGTCATAACCCTTACCAAAAAGTAGTATACTTCAAGTTCATTTTAGTAAGTACACTGTACACTGATATTTGTATACTTACTAAACAAAGTATACTTAAAAATATACTTAAACTTTACTTAAGTATAAGTATACTTAAGTAAAGTTCAAGTATATTTTTAAGTATACTTTATTTAGTAAGTATACAAATATCAGTGTACTAGTAGTATACTTGTAAGTGTACTATTTCAATACTTCTTGGGACTAAATTGGCCCACTTTCTTGTATATAAAAGTATACTTTTAAGTAAAGTTCAAGTATAACAGTAGTAAACTTTGAGTACACAACTAGTTTACATCAAAATGTTTAGTTTGTACTGCAACTATACTAAAAGAGAACTTATAGGTATACTGATATTTACTAATTAAATACTTGTAGCAGCATTTTTAGTACACTTTGAAGTATAGTCTCAGTAAACTACTAGTTTAGTAGTTTTATACTGCAAGTATACTCGTAAGTTTTCTTTAAGTTAACTTTACATCATACTTTAAGTATACTACTATGTCCCTATTTAGGTATTAATTTGAATATATTTTGTTACATGAATATTTGAACATACAAAACATCAGAAAAGAACAAAAGAACAGGGTATCTGCTTGTAAACAAAAAATTTTTATTCTAGCTTCATGCATTCTTTTTTTAAACACTTGAATG